TTACCAAGAGTTGCAACAATACTTGTCTTTTTTGCAGTAATTTTCGCTGATTTTTTAGCAACAATCGGAGCTGTTTTGTGACTTGCTTTATGCAAAGTTGCTGATTTGTACTGACTGTGCAAAAAAATTAGTTAAATATATTTAAAAAAATTTTCCTCACAATAATAAATTTTTATAACAGTTTTTAAGATTAAAAGATAAGTAAAAATAGAAGGCTTACTTAAAAGAACTCAAATAAGTAGCATTTGGTGTTGTTCCAGATTTGTTACAGCTAAGAAAAAAATGAATTATATATTATGATATAGTTTATTGAGCAAATTATGCTGCTAATACTAATTTGTGTGTTTGCACAGAACTCATGACAGTCATTAAACCTGAGTTCATGGCGAAAAAAAAAAATTTCTCTTGGCACTTCTTTATACAAAAACGTTGCTAAGTCTAAGTTATGTAAATTCAAAATTATGTAAATGTTATGCTGTGTTAAAAATGTAAATATTTTGTTTTATATTTTGAAAAAATATAAAACAAAATATTTACATTTTTAACACAGTTAAAAATGTAAATATTTTGTTAAATATTTTGTTATTTGAAATAAAAAATTCATTTCATTATATTAAATAAATTTGAAATTATATTAAATAAAAGAAAATATTACATAAAAGAAATTTTAAAATTAGGAATAAGTAAATTTTACAGCACTCGAATGCGCAACAATAAAAGAATTGAAAAAATTAAAAAAATAGTACTAGAAACCATATAACTTGTTATAAACCTACTGAAATGCATAAACCTAAAACCAGACGAAGTATTGTCAATGTGCACACATTTAAGTTATCAATTCTATATATCTCATTAAACCTTTATAAAACCTCTAAATCTGTCTATTATTGTTATGATAAGCAGCCCTTAAAATTAGGACGACATTTGGCAATGCCTACTTAACTGCCTACATCGAATTATTTAAGGTTGGCAAAAAATCGCTGACTTTGTTTCTATGTTTGAAGGTTAACCCTTTATATTATATTTTTTTTGCTGACCTATTGCCAACACACTTTGTTACTGGAATACCAATTTTTGCAGTATTAAAAGAAAATATTTTTTCCATCATGGAAGTCCATAAAATTTAAATTAATTATTATAGGAACAAGTAAATTACCAAAATAGTAAAATGCACAAATATTTTTTTACTATACTAGTGCTTTTGGGAAACATATATCGGTGTAAACTGTAGCATGTGCAAACTGTAGCTCTCTTACAGAAGCAACTAAAATCTTGATACAAAATTCTCTGTCTGTGTGGAGTTGGTGAAATTTCATAGCGCCTGTAATAGCAATTTAAGCTAATAAGCATTTAAGCAAATGAAAAAATCAAAAAAAGTCAAAAAATTTGATCCCTCGATAAAATAAAACTTTATCAATGAATGTCCAGTGTTAAGAAAATTGTATAACTTTTCTGCATCTGGATGGCCAAAACCCATTTAAACCAATTGATCTGCCTGATATTACATAGATACTACAGGCTTTCCCAGAAAAGGCGTGCGGTCGCACGTCTTGTTTGTCCACGCATAGAATAAATTTTTCAGAAAACGTGACCGCGGCATTATTTCGTAAGAAAGCGGAAATTATCCACAGAAAATAAAAAATTATATTAAAAAAATGAAACAAAGTATAAAATTGAAACAAAGTATAAAAGTCTAAACAAAGTATAAAATTGAAATTGGATGTAAGAAAAATATTTTGATAATAAAAAAAAATTAAAAAAAAAAAAATTCTTGTAACATTTTTTTCAAAATTTTTATACTGTTTTTGTTTTCTTTTATTAGGGTTGATATTTTCAGCTAAGAAATTTGATACAAGTCAAGGAAAAGACGACGATAAGTCATAAAGATTTCACGAAAATAAAAAGACTTGATACGTAATTTATTCACGAACTTTATCAGACAATGTATTAAAAAACTGATTCATTATTTACGCTAGACAAATTTGGTTAAACTTTTTCATTTAATTTAGTTTTTACGAAGGTTTATGCAAAGGCAATGTCTTTATTCCCTAATACTTAGACAAGAAAATAAATTGCTGTTTTAATTATTAAATATATTATTTGAGATTTTAAACATAACAAAATTTTAATGTGAAAAAAGTTCTTTCTCGACTTATTCAAAACTGATTATACTGAGTCAATGCTCGCCTTTTATTACGTTGAAATTATTCAATTGCATAATTTTGTAATTACGAAATAAGTTAAAAAAAAAATTGCATTGCTTCTGTTGTCATTGTTACGAAAACAGTTCCTTCGGGACATTATTATATATTAACACTCGTTCACAATGTCATTTAATGATTGCAAAATAAGCAACTCAATCGTTTGACAATAAAATTTTCTTTCATTTAAAAAAAAAACAAACATATTTTACTAATAAATAGCAATCGTTTTCGTGTTTTCTTGTGTATCAATACATTCAAACATTAAAATCAATACATTAAAACATTTAAATGTATTTACGAATCATTTAAAAATTGTTTATAGTTCTAGCGTGAATTTTAATGTATTACTGACTGATAAAAGTCATAAATAAATTTTACATTAAAAGGTCCTTTTATTTTCTTTAAACATTAATCTTTTTCTTTTTGATTTGATTTTTCTTATTGATTTGATTTTTCACAGCTTAAATAACTACCACCCTAAAAAAATAAAAATATAAAATATAGGTAAATTTTTTTTTAATAATATACATTAATTTTTTAATTTTAAAGCACAAACAGATTTCTGTTATTTACTTTAAGATTGCTTGCATTTTTGCGGTATTTTCGTTTAGCTTTGTTTTGGCGCGAATTCTTGAAACGCATAATAATAAAACGTGGTCAGTTAGTCAGAAAAATTTATTCTATGCGTGGACAAACAAGGCATGCGACCGCACGCTTTTCCTGGGAAAGCCTGATACTACTATTGGATCTGGTGCTCCCTTGCCATGTCCACTTCCTAAAAAGTTCCACCTGGCTGAATGAAACTTTAATTCAGTTAGCACTGTTGAGAATAAGAAAAAGTTCTGCTCATTACTATGTTGTGTGGTTAGTCCATCATCACATTATGTGGTTAATCCATCATCATGTTATGTGGTTAATCCATCATCATGTTATGTGGTTAATCCATCATCATGTTATGTGGTTAATCCATCATCATGTTATATGGTTAGTCCATCATAGAAAAAATAAAGATCTGTCATTTGTGGGTTATCTAACTTAAGTATTATTAGCTGAAATGACTGATGTCCATTTTATAAATTAGTTCTATATGCATTGTAGCTTGTTTGTTACTTGCTCCAAAATGTGATGATTGACTTGCAGCAAAATTCTTGTACGCATAATTCTTAGAAAAATTTATATGTATAATAACTTTACTCACAGTAACTGTTTCTTTTAAAAGTTTGTACATTCTGAACTGGTGTCTCATTATAAAACATGTTTGCATAGCTTGTTTCGAATTGATTCACATAATTTTACTTTAAGATCTTTCAGTGTTAAACGCTTTCCACAATTCCTGATAACATTTGTTTTTGTTTTTTTCTCCCTTCTTTTCATATTCCTATTCATATTCATATTTCTTTTCATATTCCTTTTTCCACTGGAACCAAACTATAATACTTATAATACATTCAATATATATAGAATACAAACTATATTACTAATATACATACTACCTAATATACATACAATACAAACTATAATACATTCCATATTCCCTTTCATATTCATATTTCTTTTCATATTCCTTTTTCCACTGGAACCAAACTATACTTTCATCCTTTAGCAATTTTTTTGCTTGAAATCAAACACGAGACTTCAAACAAATTTTACAATCTCTGATAATGCATTCTCTTCTATTAGTATTTAAAAACATGTTGCAATACTCTTTCAATATTTTTTTCAAAACATTCTTGTTATTAAGTTTTTCACAAAGTAATTATTCTCATGTTTTTTGTCACTAAGTAATTATTCTCATGTTTTTTGTCACTAAGTAATTGTTCTCATGTTTTTCATCACTAATAAAGTAATTGTTCTCATGTTTTTTGTCACTAAGTATTTGTTTTCATGTTTTTTGTCACAAAGTAATTGTTCTCGTGTTTTTTATCACAAAGTAATTGTTTTCATGTTTTTTATCACTAAGTAATTGTTCTCATGTTTTTTGTCACAAAGTAATTGTTCTTATGTTTTTTGTCACTAAGTAATTTTTCTCATGTTCTTTGCACAAACATGGGTCTATTTTTAGCAGATGGTTTGTGGACAAAAAATGGACGGTAACAAGTAATGTTGTATATGAAATATTGTTTTTAATATATTCTAGGCTGAATTTTCAAGAAAGATTTATTAATGAATCGAGTAGTAGTAAGTTTTATTTTTTATCTTTTTTTTTTGTTAGTTTTTTTTTTTCTTGTAGTTATTCTAGGATTGTCATCATTTGTAAGAAACTCCAAGTGAATCATTACCACAATCGTAATTGACACTGTTTGGAGTTGTAATTTTTGATGACAAAAAAGAGTTAGGGTTCTATTACCTTCTATAGTTTTCTACAGAAGTAGACAACCTACCAGTGGTAGCAGGTAAATTTACTTGTGAACAATTGCTTGTGAATATATATATTAAAATATTGTATATTGACATGTCTAAAGCACTAAATGATATCCCCTATTAGCCTTAAAACAAACAAAAAAAATTAGGGTCTATAACAATATAGTCCTATATTCAGGACATCTGTGGAGTGGATATTAGTGTATACAATTTTGTACACAAAATTCTAAATTTTTGTTTTGAATATCAAATAAAATGCTAGTTTATATTAACCATAAATATTACCATCCATAGCGCTGTTTTTTATGTTAATTGCACTATGATTGCGTTTTAAGATGAATGAGAAAATGATTCATAAACTTTTATTTTGTGTTTTAAAAAGTAAAAGCTCATCTTGATTTACTTTGAACTTTTTTCTGTTTCTTTTTTTTCCTCACTTGCTATTTAAATGTTGCTATTTAAATGTAAGGGAGAGGGAAGTTAATACAAGTTAATACTTAATGGAAGTTTATAATTTTAACTTTAAATTTTTGACAGGGAGATATGTTACAAAATTTTCATCCATATTAAAAAAAACATACATTATTAATGCAATGACGAAATCAATTTAGTAAGCCTGCACATCTAACATATTAAAGAGAAAATGTATATACAAAAATAAAAAACTTTCTTTTGAAATAAATAAACAGGGCGAGTTTTCTAATAAGCTTTAAATGCACGGAAAAGAGCAAAAAAATAGTATCCTTCTCCCCGCTTTTATTTTCTTTTATTAAGCCAAATCTTGCATCTTCAATTTTTGTACTGACATTCACTATTTTGAGTTGACTTTGTTGTTAAAGGTTGAACTTTTTACACTTGACTTGCTTTGCTGTTGTTGTTGTAGAGGTATGTGTTATTTCCTTGCTTTTTTTCTGTCATCATTTTTCAACATGTTTGTGTAAATGAGTTAGATGCAGAACATTTGTTGCAAAATATTTGCAAGCAATTGTAATAATTGTGATTCTTTTCCAACTTCTATATGAATTTCTTTATGAATAGACATATTCAATATAAAATTAAAGGTTAGTTAAGTTAATGTTGTTTTGCTCAGATGAGTTAAGTTTGGAGTTGATGCTATACAATTTACTGATTCTAGATGGTGTAGATTCACAAGGCAGTGGTTGAGGTCCTTTTCATAAATTCTGGTGGTTGAGATGATTAAGAGTTAGATTGAAAAGATTTTCAAAGTATTGTGTTTTGTGGTGTTTAAAAGGTATTAGCAATTTGCAATTTGTTAACATATTAGCAATTTGACTAAATCAACTTCATTGATGTTCAGTGAAAACAGTATTTTGAAATCATATATTATTCATGTACATTAAAAGTTTTTACAAGAGCTAAAAAACGTTGCTTGCAAAATAAACTTTTTTATTTAAGTTAAAACTATTATTAAACTATATTCTGATCCATTTCTCATAAAAGTTTAGAAAATATATTCTGTTCCATTGCTCATAAAAGTTTAGATATATTGCATACAAGTTCAAAAAACTTTCTTGTTTGAAAAAAAAGTTTAAAGAGTGGAAATTATTTAAAACTTTGAATTAGTTTTCAGTTTATCGCATCCTTATAAAAATGAGACTTTGATTTGAGAAAATGTATATCATAAATATCAGATGCATTTAAAACTTTTATAAATTGTGACTAACCTTATTGTAGAGATGACTACCTCTTCTGTATATGCAGCAGGGTACCATCCTGATCTAAAATTTATATTATAAAATTTATTTAAAACAATAATTAATTTGGTTTTATATTAAATTAATAAAACATATGCAAATAAAGGAAACATAAATTTCAACATTTGTGTAACATTTCTTAAGTAAAAGTAATTTGTATTACTTTCATAAGTAAATGTAAGTTAATGTGACTGTTAATGTATATATTGAATTGTACAAAAACTAGAAAACAGCAAATTACTAATAATTATTCATATTTTATGTTATGTTGGGAGTGATGTCATGCTATAAAAAGAATATTTACAACAGCATGAGTGAAGGTGAGATTTCCTAACACCTTTGCAAATAGCCAACTAATAATTGTAAATTTAGTTCTGTTGTTATACAAGAAGTATTTTATTACATAAACAAACTGAATTAAATTTTTATTGAATATTTCCAACTAAAAATGAACTTTTATTACAAAAAAACTTTTTGCTTGTATTTATTTTTCTGTTATTCACTTTAGTAACTATTTTAAGTTAGATAATTTAGTTACTATAATAACAAATTGTATTTTAATAAATGTGATTGCACTTTAGAAAAACACAAAACCCATAAACTTCAAGTATACAAATTATTTAGAAGTAATTTAAATAACATACAATCCAGTTTTTTCATTTTCGCCATATTGCCAACCAGATGTTGGTTCACATATTGGAATAATAATGTCACCCTAACAAAGTACAACAATATCTAACATGCAAAATATATTAAAAAAAAATTAATACAAAATTTAAACAAAATTTGTTGGTAAATTTGAAACTTTTTATTGCAATTTTAAAACTTAAACTCAAAGTTTAAAGCCATGTATTTAAATATAAAAACTTAAAGCTTATTGATTGAGGTTTCATTTATTATTAAGGTTAATTAATTGTAAATAATTATTGTTTTCATCATTATAAAATTTCTTTTTTAAAAATGATTAAAATAAATTTAGTATACAAAAAATTTGAAAATGAAAAAATTGTAAAAACCTTTTCAAAAGTCAGCTGTGAGCCGTCACGAGCAGTATGATCATAAATTGCTTTTAGTCGATTTCTAAATGTCAAACAAAATATATATATATATATATATAAAACCGAATCAAAAAATATATATATAAAACAGAGTTTAGAGTTTATCAAAAACTAATTCTAAAACAATGTGTTGTGTAACTGATTCCAGAGTAATTTTGAAAAAATGCATAAGTTGATAGAAATTTTTTTTTTTTTTTTTTTTTTTTTTTTTGTCTTTTTACATAAATTAGACTTTCACCTCCCAAGAAAGCTGAGCAACTCTATGCAAAGAAACAAGTTCATACTAGTTGTAACATTTTTGTATAACCAAAACCAAACACATTCCTTCAATATATAGAAGCCATTATTTTGACTTTTTTTGTTTCAGAAAAACCAATCACTTAATGTTGAGTATCAAAATGATTTCAAAAAGTTTATAAACTTTTTATATTTATCAACCCAACCTCAAAATTATATTAAAATTGAAAAAATGATTTTAAAAAGTGAATCCATAAAATTCTTAAATCTTCTATATTTATCAATCCAACTCAAAAAGTATTTCTTATTATAAAGTTTACTATTTTTAATATTAGGTTAATGACAGCTTATAACATAACAAAACAGTTTTAATATTAAGTAAATGACTGCTCATAACATAACAAAACAGTTTTAATATTAAGTAGTACTTCATAACATAACTAACCAGTTTTAAACTTAAACAAACTTTACCTGTGGTCATGAAAATAAATCATTAAAAACAGGACTTAAAAAAATAATGACATATTATTAGAAATATTGTTTTTAATATTTTGGTAATACAATTAATATACAAATAAACTAATACACACACATTCATAGTCACAGTTAACCAATCAAATCAATATAAATTCAACATAAATCATCATAAACTTAAGTTTTAAATCTGTTTTAATTTCTTTTATATAAATAAAAGTTTTTGTAGAAAAAAATCATTTCTCTAAATGAAAGTTTTATTTACAAAACTAAAAGAAGGTATAAAATTATAAACAATTTCTTTCTATTAAATTTTTCTGTTATGCTATATAATATTTTTTAACAGATTTACTATCAAAACTTTTGTGAAACAAAACAATCAAGCAAAGCAGTCAATGAAATAAAAAAAAAGCTCATTCTTTACTTTATCACAAAAAACAATACAAATGATTAAAAAAAATCAAAAAATCTTACTTGACGACAGTTTTCTCTTTAACTTGCCTTTGATTTAGCAAATTTTGTATTGATGCAAGCCTCGAACGAAAATCTGATGCTTCTAAAGAATCTTCAGAAGGTCCGTAAAATTTATGCTCTTTATGACTGATTTCACTTTCCATTCGAAGAATAGCACTAGAATTATTTTGCTCTATTGTTTTATTAAGTTCAATTCTATTGCCAGAGTATGAATGACATCTTGATATAGATACGTCATCAAATTTTTGATTGAGGATGTTAACATTTGCATATTCACTTTTTGCTGGGCTATTATCTTCAACTTTCTCATTGGTTGGTATCTTTATCTGTTGCTCCTCGTCTATTTTTGATTCATCCCAATCATGCGTGTATGAAGGTGTAGTATTTGTAACTTCCTGTGTATCTTTTTCACTATGGGTAGGTGAAGTGCTTCCACTAAGCGATCTTGCTTGGCTTGCAGCATCTGTAAGATTTCCTCTTGAGCTTAATGCAAAATTTGAAATACTTGGCCGAGAACTTCCTCGAATAGATCTACCATCAAGAGTACTATACTTTGTTGGATAATGATTATTAAAAGATTTTCCACGCCTTAATGTATCTTTCCTATCAGGTTTAATAACTTTTTTTTTAACTGTTCCTATTTTGTAACCAAGAGGATTCTAAACAAAAGTTTTTTAAATGTATTGAACAAAAAACATTTAAGGATGGTCACAAAACTTCATATTATTATTATTATTATTATTTATTACTATTATTATTATTTATTTACTTTACAAAACAATGACATAAATACTGAACTATATTAACAACTTTCATTAGTAACACAGTAAACATAGTTAAGGTTATCTTTACAAATAGGTATAATTTATGTTATATTTAATTATATGCATTGTAGAACAAATAATTTGTTTAGAAATTATACTTATAAGCAAACTATGAATTAAAAAAAAAAATTATTAATTCCAACATTATTAGTTTAACTTACTAACCATAATAATGTTTTCACTTTCAGGAGGAAGCTCAGTAGGTTTGGAAATAAATTGCAACCAATCAGGAACTTTTTGGTTTATAAAACTATTAATCTAAGAAATGTTAAAAGCAATCATTTTACATTTATAAAGGATATTGATTTAAAATAACTTAAATGGAAATCTGTTACTTTATTACTATATTATTTGAGAAAAAGATCTAGTTATAATACAGAGCTTGTGGTAATATCTTAAAAGTTGTTATAAATTAGTTTTGAACTATAAAATTCAAAATAAGAAAGGATATTTATATAAAAATATCAGAGTACCTTATGTCCTTTATGTTAAACATCAAAATATAAATGTATTGGTATGCTGTTTCATGTTAATACATCAAAATAATGTTTAAACTAAGTTCCCCAAATTTTTAATTTTTTACTTTTATTTAATTTTTTGCACATAATTATAGTCAGAAAGTGCAAAACATGTGTTTTATAACATAGAGAACAGGGGACAAAACATTCTTTATTAAACAATAGGGGAATATTTGTTGTTCAATATAAAAAACAGAGGGGCTTTAACATTTTTGATTCAATATAGAAGCAGAAACAACATTAAAAAAATCTTCAGCAAACTTTTAAAATGTTCCATAACTTTCTTTACTCAAACCAGTTTCTAAGGAGAGAATACTTATTATTCACTTCTAACTTCAATCAATTTCAAAGATAAAAATGCTCAGTTTTAATTGCATTTTTATAAAAAAACTTTTTATTCATATAATATTTTTACGCCTAGTTAAAAACAACTAATTATGTTATAAGTTTCAATATTTTTTTAGAATTATGAATATTAACTTTTACAATTTCTAACTAAAACTGTGGGATAAATCACACTATTTTTATCATCACTGTGGGAGCAGAAAAGAATATTTATATGTTTGTATTCACCTTAAAGCTCAATATTGATTGTGCCATCTAATTGAATCGAACATACCCAAATTCAAGAGAAAAATGATAACATGATACAAACAAGGTTTTAACATATTAACTTTAAATATTCTTTAAATTTTTTTTTTTTATTTTCGATGAAAATAAAAAAAAATTTCATAAATCTTATAAATCAGCCATTCACCAAAAAGTATTTTTACAAAACATTAAAAGTTAACTTTGAAAAAAAAAGCTGAAAAAAACTGTTTAAAACATCTTCATTTTGCAAAAAATTAAAGTTCAATATATCTTTAATTAACTGCAAAAAAAAAAAAAAAAAAAAAAAAATGGTTGTCCCAAGCTGCTTTGAAAAGATTATGCAGATTTGAAATGTTTTGTTATACTAAAAATGCAATTTGATAAACTTTTAATGCATTAAATAAATGATCATTAGCTAGGATTAGTAAATTAACACGATACTGCCATGTAAAAGATTGTCTATGTATTTTTTATGTTATTTTAATATATTTTCATTCCATTCTATGTATCAAACTTTAGGTCGCTACCTCATTCATTAAATATTGTTATTTAATGACAAAAAAGAATAAGAATAGAATCAGAATAAATAAGAATATTGAAACCTGAATATCTTGAGAACTCTAAAGAGTTGGAGGTTTTTAAGATATTTAGGTATTTTGAGGTTCCTACTTTCAGATTTTCCTAGTATTTGTAAACCCTATATCATATATAAAAATTAGCAAAATCTAAAACATGGGGTGCCATTTTTTTTTTTTTTTTTTCGCTGACTTAACATGGAATAACCCATATTCAAAATTCCTGCAACAGTCAATTAAATATTAGCTAATAAGGGAAAAATTACTTCTAATTCTCCTTGCTTTGGGTGAAAAAGCACAAAAATATTGCAACCAAATCACTAAAAGATATTGGTTACATCATGCTTGCAAGGCCTCAAGAGAAGACAATGTGTTTGTGACAATGAAGACAATGTGTATATTTACACATTCAATGAACTCATCAGATTTAATTATAATTTCATTTTTTAGGTATAATATCTAAAAATAGAATAAATTCTTCAATAAGAAGTTACTGATCTTTTAAAATTAGAAGTTGATGTAAAATAAAGTAGTGACAAAATAATGATAACACATCAGATATGGACAACAATATGTATCAATTTAATGAAAATTTTAAGATTTAGAAGTTAATAATAATTAGAACTAAAAAAAATGATGAAACAAATAATTTTATTTTAAAAAATACAAAAACTCAGGAAACTATAATAAAAAAAATTATTTTATTTATTTGATCTTTTAAAATAACTCGAGGGAGGGGAGATGGACATAGGTTCCCCCTCACCCCCTCCTTGGAAAAAAATTCTATGAGCTATGCTACCAAGTTAAATTAAACTATTAAGTAAAATGCTACTATATCTTTCTAGTAAGTAAATTACTAAGTAAAATACTACTATATCTTTCTAGTAAGTAAAATAGTAAGTAAAATACTACTATATCTTTCTATACTACCAAGTTAAATTTCTTTGAAACTACAGGTCAAAATTAGTAGCTGCGTGTAAATATGAAGAAAATAATTTTGACTACCCTTTTGTATAGAATTGTCCCAATGTGCAAAGTTGTTTGTTTTCATATGAAATTACCCAATAAAATAATATTTAGAATGACAATATAAAAATACATATAAATAATAAATTTATATTTCAAATAATATGTTAAAAAAAAGAAATTTAAATCTTAATCTGGTTAACTTTAAAACTCTAGCCAGCCTATAATACTTGATATAGTAGCCAGCCTATAATACTTGATATAGTAGCCAGCCTATAATACTTGATATAGTAGCCAGCCTATAATACTTGATATAGTAGCCAGCCTATAATACTTGATATAGTAGCCAGCCTATAATACTTGATATAGTAGCCAGCCTATAATACTTGATATAGTAGCCAGCCTATAATACTTGATATAGTAGCCAGCCTATAATACTTGATATAGTAGCCAGCCTATAATACTTGATATAGTAGCCAGCCTATAATACTTGATATAGTAGCCAGCCTATAATACTTGATATAGTAGCCAGCCTATAATACTTGATATAGTAGCCAGCCTATAATACTTGATATAGTAGCCAGCCTATAATACTTGATATAGTAGCCAGCCTATAATACTTGATATAGTAGCCAGCCTATAATACTTGATATAGTAGCCAGCCTATAATACTTGATATAGTAGCCAGCCTATAATACTTGATATAGTAGCCAGCCTATAATACTTGATATAGTAGCCAGCCTATAATACTTGATATAGTAGCCAGCCTATAATACTTGATATAGTAGCCAGCCTATAATACTTGATATAGTAGCCAGCCTATAATACTTGATATAGTAGCCAGCCTATAATACTTGATATAGTAGCCAGCCTATAATACTTGATATAGTAGCCAGCCTATAATACTTGATATAGTATTTAATTTAGTATTTAGAAGTGTTAAGTAGCGTACAATAGGTATTTAAAAGTATTTAGCTACAATAGGTATTAGAATATAAAAATGTTATTAAAAAAAATATCATTTAACATACTTACTTTGTTGTTACATAAAACTATTCCCTTTCCATAGGAACACATTCTATCAGCAACAAAACAATAAAGTCTTCTCTCTTCAACAAGCGCCTTATAGAATAAAAAAAATATATTTAATTCATCTTTCTTTTTTAAATACTTAATTATTTAAATTTTTAAAAAACAAAAGATGTTTACTGTACAAATTAGGATTGAGCTTTTACTAACTTTTAAATTTACCAGTAAATTAGTAAATTAGTAAAAAAAAGCATAACTTACCAATAAATATTAGTAAAACCCGTGAAAAAAGTCATAGAAAGTCATACTAAATTTTATTATATTTTCAAAATACTTTCTTTATAGTATTTAGATCTAATATCTTTATTGATAAATATAGTTATATTGATAAAAAATGGCCTATGGATCTACATTCGTAAGAATTCACTCATTTGTTGGGAAACTAGGTTTGAATATTTTTATGTGCTTTTGTTCAACACCACTTCACTCTATCGCCTTTCTCTTTGTTCTTTATCACTTTCTTTTATCTCACGACTGCACTCTTTTCAATGTTTTTTCTAATCAAATCGACCAAGCCCACTCTATTTATCCATCAGCCACTATCCTTGTAGTTGATGACTTTAATGCTCATCACACTAAACAGCCACAACTTTTGGTCTTTCTCAATCTCTTACACAAACAGTCAACTTTCCAAAATAATTCTAAATAAAACAGACGTCTGTTTATTATTGCTAGAAACCATTGTAAAAAGGTTTTGCTAAACACCAAAGCCAGCTACTTTCAGGACATGAAATCTCATACTTCATCTCCAAAATTAGGCTCTCGTAACTTCTGGAGAATCTTTAACAGTATCAATAATAAGGGCAAATCTGTTATTCCACCTATCTTGTACGGTTCAGATTTTGTCACCTTACCTCAAGACAAAGCTGAACTGATGACTAAGAACTTTTCATCAATATCATCTCTTGATTCCAATAGTTGCGTTCTACCTGATATAGCCGTCAAACAGGTTGGTTCATTGCTTGACATTCCTATCACTTCAGCTTCTGTATCTAAAGTGATTTCTTGGTTAGACTCTTCTACAGCTTGTGGCCTTGATAACATACCTGTTATAGTCTTGCAGAGCTGTTCTCCAGAGCTGTTGTCTATATTTTCAAAACTCTTTAAGTGCTTATCAATGTCTTGTTTTCTGGCCTGCTGGAAAGCGGCAGCTGTTATCCCTATTTTCAAAAACTCTGGAGAGCGATCTGGCTTGTCTAACTACCGCTCCTTAAGTCTTCTTCCTATCATAAGCAAGTTTTTGAATCTTCAATTAACAAACACTTAAACTCTCATTTTTGACATTAATAAAGCTTTTGATAAAGTTTGGCATGCTGGTCTTCTCCATAAGCTCTCCTTTTATGGTGTATCAGGTTTTATGGTGTATGGTGTATCAACATTTTATGGTGTATGGTGTATCAACATTTTAAAGATTATTGAATCCTTCCTTACTAATTGTAGTATAAAAGTTGTCCTCAATGGGCAGTACTCTTCTTCATATCCTGAAACCTTAGAGATTCCTCAAGGTTCTATCCTTGGCCCTACACTTTTTTAAATTTATATTAACGATCTCCCAAAAATTCTTACATCTAAGGTGGCATTGTTCGCTGATGATAATACCATTTATTCTTGTCTTGATAAGGAGCCAACACTCTGTGTTTGTATAAAGGGGGCATTTGAGTTTGAAATCTCACTTCTGCAACAGCATGGGGCTCTCAGTAGCTGGTGAATTTTAACTGCATCTCTTTATTTTGCTTGCCACTTTCATACTCAGGATTCTATTCTTTATCTCTGTAAATCTCAAACCCAAAAACTGGAATATTACTTCCATATATGGGGCAGATCTTCCAATGACGCCCTTTCTCTTTTAGACAAGGTGCAAAAACGCATTGTAAACATAGTTGGACCTCCTCCTGCAGCCAACTTCCGACCATTATCACATCGTTATGTTGCTTCTCTTTCTCTTTTCTATAAATTCTATAATGGGAACTGCTCTAAAGAGCTATTATCTCTTGTGCCATCTGCTAAAATTCAATAAAGTCCTATATTTTAGTAACTTTTTTTTTTAATAATCTGGATTCGTTCGGTAAAGCAAATATTTGGCAGTCTTTTGAAGTACAGACTTTTTTCTTTGTGAAAACTTTATGTTTTTTGAAAACTTTATGTTCTTCAAGGATAAACATTCTGGATTAAAATGTATTAATATCTGTGCAAGTATACAAGACTACTGACTTCTCTCTTCAAAACGATTTAAAACTACACTCTTCATTGCAATACAAAGAGTTGAATTTCATCGTTTCAGTTGCTTCAAAAGACACTTGAAAATTCCCTCAGCAGTAGGAAGAGTTGCATGCTGTCTGCAAAGGGCTTCTGCTACCAATTTGACTGGTTTAAGAGCAGCAACAATGTTGAATAAAATGTTTACTTCATAATTGGCACAAATCAAATGCATAGAAATATCTTTTAACACTTTTCTGATTAAATCTTTGATTTTGAGAAACTGTTGAATCATTGACAGTAGACTATACCATCTTGTTTTGAAGTCAAGGATAAGCAAAACCACTTTTCTGTGCTCTTTCTTGATTTTTTTTGGAGGACATCATTTATGACAGGAGATTTTTGAAATAACATTTTTTTCTGACTTTTGTGTAGATAGATTGCAAGTGCACTATCATTTTTGAATAGGAATGTTTTCACCAATGACAGCATTAAGAAAACTGACTTCAGTATCTAATTCAGATTCGTCACTGCTGACTTTATCTTTGTCACTTGCTACTTGCAATAAGCTGTTATCTATTTCTCAGGATGGCTTTAAATAGAGCACTTCTTGAACAGCCGAATGCATTCCATGGCTGTAACACAGTTGCTGCTCAGTTGAAACCAGTTTTTTGAACTTAACCATTATCGAAGCTTCATCCGTAACTGAATTTTTTGACTCTGTTGCAGTTTTTTTTGTCAACTTTTCCTGTGTTTCTTTTTTTATTTCATGTTTTTTTGTCTGGATGATACTACATTCTAGTTGTGGAATTTGAGTATTAACTAATATTTCCAAATATTTTGCCAATGTTTTTCCTTTGAGTAAGGTGTAGTGTTTCCAAAAGTTTGACATTTTAACCAAAAGCAAACTAAATTGATTGATAAATATCATAATTAATATATCACATGAAAGCAGTAGTGTCTTTCTTAAAATGTTTAGACAAAGCTTAACCAACAGGATCAGTTTTTAAATTAAACTAACAACAGCTTAGTTAATATAAAGATTAACTAAATTTTTAATTTATTGGGATTTGCTAATTCAAATTTTTTTAAATATTTTAAATTATTTTTAAGCATAATAATTCTATTTACATCTTCATTTTTTAGATTTTTGTTAGAGAGACAAACAAATAAATGAAGTGGAGGAATTCTGATTTATGTAAAAGAAAACATAAGGAAAGAGACTTAGCTTTTTTTAACAACAAAATATTACTTACAAAGGTAAAAAAAAAAGAAAAAAAAAAAGAATTTCAGAGTGAAGGATTCGAAATGAATTGTTTAATTTATAGCATAGTAAAAATCATTATTTACCAACAAAATTTACTGGTAATTATTATTACCAGTTATTATATTAGTAAAATAATTATTAGTAAAAGCTAAACCCTAATATAATACTATTAAATACTTTACTATTAAAAACAGGCAAGTTAACAAAAACTAACAGTAACAAGTAAGTTAACAAAAACTAACAGTAGCCCTAAAAGCTGAATAATAATTAAAGTAAAAAATAATTAAAAATTTTAATAAAGCATGAGATCAAAAAAAATGAGAAACAGAAACCACTTTCAAAATAAATTACATAACACATAAAAAAAAATAATAAAATACTTTAATCAAGTAATGATAGTAGTTAAAAAAGAAACATAAAAAAAAAGAAATTCAAATAACAATTTTTTAAAACAATCATCGAGGCAATTTGAACAAAATCTTGCACATTTATGAAGAAAATCTATTATGGTACTACAAACGAGTCTCAAAAACTACTAGAATTCCTAAATCTACTGTTGGAAGGGTTATAAAACAATATCAGAAGACTCTATCCATTGAACAAGTTAAAGGATAAAGAAGGAAAAAAAAATTTAACATTAAGTCAATGATAAATAAAATTTGTAGTAATTTTGAAAGAAACCCAGGCTTGTCTAATAGAGAAAGAGCTAAAAAGTACAAAGTTTTTGGTAAGGAAAGTGAAGATACAATTACTACAATTACAAATCTTTTCAAGCAATTAAATACCCAAATCATTCTGACAAATAAGTTTGACTGCAAAAACACGAGCACGCAAAAATTTACACTCAAGTTTTGACAAAATTGAATGGCTGCATTTTGATACACAACACTTATATATAATATTTAGTCAACTTCATAGTGACAAATATTATACTTCCTTTGTTCATGGCAGTGTCAGGGTTCCCACTACTAAAACTGAGGCTAAAAGTAAGGATTTTAAGGAGATATTTTCCTAATATTTAAGGAGATTTGAAAGAAAAAATAAGGAGAATTAAGCAGAAAATGATTATATTAAAAACAGAATCTTATTTTTTTCAATAAATTTTAAATATAAACAGAGAATTTATTATAAAGTAATATATTACTTTATATATATATATATACATATATATATATAAATATATATATATATATATATATATATATATATATACATACATATATATATATATATATATATATATATATATATATATATATACACACACATATATATATATACACACATATATATATATATATATATATATATATATATATATATATATATATATATATATATATATATTTAATAAAAATATAGGTTTGCAAACTATCAAAGAACTATATATTTTCCTCTTTATTAATAAGTATAATCCATTCACTTGAATAAAATTTCCTAGATGATTAAAAAAAGAAAAAAAGAAAAAAAGAAAATAAAAATATGGAGAAATTAAGGAGTACAGTCAAATTTGAACTCTTTTTAAGGTTATATAAGGGCATTTAAGGAGGTTTTTATTTTTTAAGGATATTTAAGGTTTTTAAGGAGGAGTGGGAGCCCTGAGTGTAAAAAACAAATATAAATACAAACTTGCAAACAAAAAGAGCAAAAAATTACTCTCATAGCAAGCAATCTGAAGTTGTGGAAAGAAGAGTAGAACTTTTGTGACGCCATTAACTTTGACATCAGAAATATTCAAGAATGCCTTCTTTTGCCACTCAATCGATGACACACTTGTTTGTTTTGGCCTGACTTCGTGCCACTATGCTAAAAAAACTTTGGAGTGGTACTAATTGAGAAAAGTTAATTTTGTACCAAAAAAGCTCAATCCACCGAATTGCCCACAATACCAGCCCATCGAAAAATATTGAGGTATTGGCATGGTTTTATTTACATAAAACAGGCAAGACTATTACATTACAGGAATTTCTGAATGCATGGTCAACCATAAGCGAGAAAATGACAATAACAGTTGTGCAGAAATTATTGGACACCATCACCATGGAAACCATCTCCAGTAATGTACAATTATTTAAAAAAAAAATTAAAAGTTTTTTTATACTTTTTATACTTTAAAAAAAAAAAGAAATTTGTAAAAATTATATAAAATTTTTTAGAAATTATGATATGAGGAAAACAAGATAATGGAAACCATAAATTAATGATGAACTGTAATGGAAACAGTGAAAAAAAAAAGATTTGAGGAAAATGCAAAGAAAAATTCTGAAGCATATTGATCACCTTTAAAAAATCTGTTTTAATTTTAGTTTTAAATTAAAAAAAAATACTTTGAAAAATATTTTTAAATTAAAACCTACTTCAAAATGTTAATCTTAATGACTGAAACTATTTTAAATAAGAAAAAAAAAATTAAAATCACATCACGTAATCCTTGCTCTCGAACTTCTTTTAACTTAGTTTCTTCTAATGAAAGTGCATTTACAGCCTAAAAAAATATAATAATACTATTCTGAACTACATGTAAAACATACATATAAAATTTTAGTAATGAAATTCCAGAATATCTCATAATATATTCCAGAACTTAATGCCTTACATAAAACATAAAGCAAGTAAATAGGGTTAGTTTGCAAGAACAACTGATTTTAAATAATACAAACAAGCAAAAAAATTTAAATTTGCTCAGCTAATGCCAAAGTACATTGTTGGATAAGTATATATTTTATTATGTGCCAAAAAAAAAAAAGAATTAAAAAACAATAACAATAATAAAATTATTAAAAAATAAAAATATTATCTAGTAATTGTTATTTTGAAGTTAAAAACTTTTTGAAATTAAAATTAGTTTTTAAATTATAATTGTTTTTTTACTTTTGTACACATTAAATTTTTTAACAGAAAACATTATTTGAAGCTGGAGATTTAATCAACTTGAGGGTCATATTTCATATTATTTGTATTTACATGTCAAAAAAATTTGCAGGTACTTTTATTTTTATTAATTTTTTTACAATTTGATTTAAAAATATTGTTTTTGAACAACTTTTTTATAATGTTAGATACCTGTCAAATAATAGTGTCTTAAAATACCCAAAAAATGTAGTAAAATGTAATATTTTAATATAGTAATCATAAAATTTTAGTATCATTTTACTATGTAATACTAGAGCTGTACCAAACTTTGGCTTCGGCACCGGCTTCGAAATCCGTCCATTTTTACAAATCTGGCCTAAATCTGGCTTCTGTAAAAATGTAGCAAATCCAACTAAATTTTAGTCGGATTTCGGAATTTTGGTCACATATTTATTACACCTTTTTTTGCCCGTGTTGACATGAATACTAAAAATTTTATTTAGACAAATGAATGTTCTTTGAAATTCTATAACTAATGAACTCCATTTTAGCGATGGTACCTGTATTTCTTTACAATTAAATTAACTAAGCCTAATTTTAAAGAACAACTCAAAGAAAAATTCTGAAAAGAAGACATGGTATTCTAAAATGAAGACACAAGAGAGAGTCTGAAGTGAAAACACTAACGTGGATAAATATATATTATAATTTGGGGCATGTCTTAAGTGAGGTCAATATGTATTATAAATTTAAATAAAATAGTAAATAAAATAATAAAAATAAAATAAAACAATATATTATAAATGTGAATAACATTTATAATAATAATATAGTTCAATTTTTATTATTACAAAATGTATTATTTTTAATAAAATTAAAAGTATATTATAATATATATTATATATGTATATTACAAGTAATGTAAAAAACTACTTCGTATTAAGTTTATCATTTAATTTAATTATTTAAAGCAACTTTAATTTTCACACCAACGTTTTCACTCAGAAACCACCGATTGCGTTCATTCCAACATTTAAAATAAATGACTTCTGAACAATAAAATTTGCGTGAAAAATCATGTTTTTCTTAAACTTTAAGTTAAAGTTTAAAAAACGTGTTGTCTTGTAAAACGTAAAAGGTAAAAGTTGATGTCGTTGGTAAAATTATTCGTTGAAACATTTCCAAAAAATTTAAATTTGTAAAAACATACTTATTTAAAAAATAAAATTATTTATTGTATTTAATTTTTAAAACTACCTTAATTATATATAATATTTTCTTTGATAATTTAAATAAAATGTAATTATTGTAAACAATCTTCGGAAGTAATTTGTCACTTGATTCAAAAACGTTTCGCCTAATCAAATCATTCATGTTTAATCAAAATATCATATCATAATATAAACAACATTTCAAAGTGTTTATTGCAAATATAATTATGCATATAATATAAATAATTTTTTAACATTTAGTTATATTTATGTTTAGAATTTACATTTAACTACTTTGTAAAAATTGTATAGTCATTTATAAGATTTATTTTTAACTTTTTTTAACAAGATGACAGACAAAGGGAAAAACAGTCTAGTTTGGGAATACTTCAAATTAAGGGATGGGAACAGCTCAAAATCAGGTAAAGCTGGTGAACCTAAAAAGTTTTCAACTTTGTTCCATGCTAACACATCTTCGTTCAAAACATCGTAATGAATACGACGAAATGCAAAAAAAAAAAAATTGCTGACTCACAGAAAAAAGCCGAAACTGTAGCATTGTCAAATGCTAAACCTGGTACAACTGCCACAACCAGTAAAGCTGTGGTCCAGTACACAATTCCAGAACATGTTGCATGCATGAAAATATGGGATATCAATAGCAGCTTATCAATGAGAATTAATCGTGCCATTTTTAAGATGATTATAACAGATATAGAACCGATTCAAGTTGTTCAGAATACAGGCTTTGTTGAACTGATGAGAGTTTTAGAAAAGCTGTTGGTAATGCTAGATCCAGCATCTACTCCGTTTCTGTCATTTACCACTGATACATGGACAGCAGGCAACACTGTACAATCATTCATGGGCTTAACTGCCCACTGGCTGACAGAGCACTTTGAAAACATGAGCTTTGTGTTAGATTGTATGCCATTCGTTGGACATCATACTACCCCTGCATTAATGACTGCCTTTCAGCAGATACTTGGCAAATGGAACATTAACGTTGGACACTGTCATGTTGTACTTCGAGACAATGTATCCAATATAATAAGTATTGGGAAGAAATTAGTTGGTCATTTTAAGCATTCTTCGTCTGCGACTGGTCGGTTCAAGGAGTTGCAGGCTGAACTTTGTTTACCTGACCACCAGCTTATACAAGATGGAACTCAACGTTTTACATGCTGTGTCGACTATGTGAACAGCGCCGTGCATTAACTGTCTACTGTTCAGAAGTAGAAGGAACTTCTTGTCCAACTGCATATCAATGGTCTGTGGCAGAGAATGCAGTATGTATGCTGGCTCCGTTTGAAGAGGCTACTCGTGAAGTTAGCTTTGAAACGGCACATATATCACTGGCTATCCCTTTTTTAACAGCTCTGCGGAACTTGTTGAATAAGGAAGGCAATGATGCAGATGTAAAGACTATGAAGTCAACCCTACATAAGTCATTGGATGAGCGTTTTAAAGACATTGAGAAGAAACCTCTTTATATAGTGGCGACACTGATTGATCCAAGATTTAAAACAAAATTCTTCTCATCACAAGCAACACTGACAGCTACAAAAGCAGCGGTTCTCCTTGCATTTAATAAAATTACAGTGCAGAAGGTATCGATGCAAGATGGAAGTCAATCTGAGCATGCTGAGCAGCAGATTGACAAAATTAAAAAAGTTCAGGCAAAACAAGCTCGACTGGATTTTTCTACATCATCATTACTCTGGCGATGTATTGATAAAATTATTCAGTCTACGTCTGCTGGTGGCACAGCACATGAACAACAACTACCAACAGGCATTGATACCCAGCTAAGCCAGTATCTGGCAAAACCAGAAATAAATAGATACGCTGATCCACTAGAGTGGTGGAGTGACAACATGCAACAATTGCAGCTCTGGCAACAGTAGCTCAAATTTATTTGGGTGCCCCACCAACAAGTGAACCATCGGAACGTGTGTTCAGTGTTGCTGGAGAGGTCCTCAATGATCACTATAGTTCACTACTGCTGCATAATGCAGCTCGCCTAATATTTCTAAAGTACAATTCAAAACTGATTAAAGAAAATTCAGAAAAATAACTGAAACTAAAGTTACTTTACTTGACTTTTAAATTTAAAGTTTCAATTGTTTATTAACTATTGTGTTATATTATGTTATGTTATGTGAAATTGTGTCCTATTTTAATAACAACAATGAAGTTTAACAAAAAACAGTTGTCCCTTGGTATTGAGAATGGCCAACATTGTTGACCATTATCAATGTCATGTAAAGATGCTCCGGATTTCAGCTCCTGTAATTTTGTTTCAAAATCCAGCTCCGCAATTGGCTTTGGCCAGATTTGTCAATTAAAATCCGGCTAATCCGGCCCCAGCTGGATTTGGAAAAAATTAAATCTGGTACAGCCCTATGTAATACACATTTAAAGAGCAGCGCAGACATTTACTACTTTAAATATTTAGTACTACTGCATTTACACAGAACTACTGCAGACATTGTTAAGAAACGTGCATTTTTTAAAGTAAGTGAAAACTTTTATCTTTTGGAATATTTAAATTATCTTTTAATATCATTTATTAGATCTTTATTCAGAAAACATTAAGTCATAAAAAAAAAGCATTTATTAACAATTATGATTTTTTTTTTGTTAATTTTTTTTTAATTAAGAGACCTTAAATTAAATATGATTTCGAAAATAAAAAATTTAAATCTAGTTTTGAAGGAATGTAAAATAGTAAAATACAGAATGTAAAATAGTTTATTAACAAAGAAATGTTTTTCTTATCATCTGCTAACTAATTCATTACATAAAACATAAGTCTCTCCATTATAAACTAAAATTTGTAAAAGTCAAAAACTTTTTTTTTTTGTTTTAAGAAGGAAGAATAGTTTTTTTCAAGAACATTTTTTTCACAAATGAATTTAAAATTTTTGTTTCTTATTAATTCAATATCGTGTAAAATTCTTATGAAATAAGTTTTATTTCTAGACAAAAATTATGTTTACAGATATTTTACTGGTAACTGATCTAATCTATAAATTGATTATAATCTTTATTAAAAATAGTTAATTAAATAGATAAAACAAAAAAAAAACAAAAAAAAATTGTGCTTAAGCAAACAAAAGATTATGTTATGTATAACATGTTTTAAGAAATCTTTTTCAAATATCAAATTTATATTTCACCTGTAATTTTTATTAGTAATGTTATATAAATGATTTTTAATGTGATTTAAATTTAAATTTAAATACAAAAACAGTTATGTCTATTAGAGTTGAGCGTTTGTGTTACGTGACAAAATCTTGTAACAAGGTATTTTAAATATACTACTTATTATATAAACACTGTTTACTATATAATGAAATATAACAAATTATTATAACAAATTATATTATATACAACTATATAATGAAACATGAACTAATTTTTGCTTCCAAAAAACAAGGCAATAGTTTAACAAAAATTTATCACACTAATGTCTTTTTTCCATAAAATTACAGAATATTATTTAAGAGCATAAAAAGGTTAAATTCAATAATAAACCCTAAACTTATCTTTTTTATAAAATTTACTTTTATTTTTGTTTGTAATTAAGAAATTAATTGAGAAAATAAAGATTCAGATTTTATGATTACCTGCTTTGCAAATGATTACCTGCTTTTCCTTTTCTTCATATTTTTGAGAAGGCCGTCTCTTTCTTAAGCTTCTTCTGCGAACTTTTAACACTGAACTTCGAACCTTTTCAACAGCCTGAATTGAAAGTTTCGTTATTAAAAAAAAGTAAATTATTTATATATCAAAATTATAAGAAAAATTAATGACAAAACAGGATTGTAAAAAAGATCCTAAAATTACTTCTGACTGTGCTTTATTAAGCTGACTGTAATTCTTATGAGTTGTCTAAAAAGATAAAAAATATAGAAAGAAAAAAAAAGAGATGTTTCATGTGTGAAATAATAATAAGTAAAAAAAAGTATAATATAAAGTTTGTAAATGCAGTTTTCTAGAATATTACTTTGTTTAAAATTTATAATTTAAAAACTCTCAATGCTGCAAAAGAAATATTTTCACAAGAAATAATTGAACTAAATAGTTTTTTATCAATAATATGCAAATTCAAAATAACGTTTTGGTAAACAACTTTACCTTGACATTTCCTAATTGAATCTCCACTTTGCTTTCTAATGGAATAATAACTTCATTGATAAATACTTTAGCTAATTCTAACTTTATATTTTCAATCTCTTTGAAAGCATCAATTATATCAGATAAAACATCACCTAAAAAATAAATAAAACCTAAAAATTTATGTTTCTCCTTCTTAGTACTCTTTTATTTAAAGCAGGTGTAACATGAATGAATTTTATTAAAGGTCTAAATATTTTTTCAAAAGTTTTAGGCCTTTGCTTTTTATCACCATTTTCTTACTTCTAATTTTACCTGCTGTTATTCATTTATATAAATATATATTTATATAAACTGGTAAAAACCAATTTTTATGGTCATTATATTAAAAAATAGAAAATAGAAAAATTATATACACTACTTGGTATAAGTTTTTTTTGTTAATGATTAATGTAAATTTTAATTAGTTTATTAAATTTGATTCATTTAGATAAAAAATAACATACAAAATGTTTGCCAGAACTATGTACTTTTTCCATGGATATTTCCTTATTGCTATGCTTGCAAAGATAATAAGGATTACTTATAAAATTTTTTAACCAATTCAATATTCAAGATATTTTCAGAGACATCGTAATTCATTTTGTTTGCATGTCATTTTAGAAATTGCTTTGTAATAATCTATATGGTTTTTAAATTTCGTAGAGATTGTTAAGAATGTAGGTGAGCAATTTTAATTGTAGTTCTTTTTTTTATTTATAAAAACAAGTTTCAATATTATTCCTGTAAAATACAATGGTAAATACTAATTTTTTTTTTCTTCGTAAATTTGCACATGAGTTTATTCATTAATATATTTATTAATTTATTTTGTTATTTTCAAATTTTTTCAAATAGAATAATTTTATTTTAATAAATAATAATAAAGATAAATTAATATTTTTTTTAAAGTTGCATTTTATTATGCAAAATACTAATATGCTAGCATTAAAAGTTTTTTATTTCATTTCTTTTAAATAAATAAAAAAATTAACAAAAATACAAAAAAGATCCCCTTAAAAGAAAATATCAAAAAAAAAAAAAACACAGAAAACTTAAATCTAATGCATAAAAATTTTGCAATTTTGACAATTTAATAAATAACTCTTTGCATTAATTCCATTTTTACAAATAAAAACAAAAAAAAACACAAGTTGTATTGGTATTGCACTATTGCAATACAAATATATTGCACAATTTTAATCAAGTTAACTATTTATATCTTTTTTGAAACTAAATATTTTACTTATTTTTTCTTTAATTGATAAAATTAATTATATTACTAATTTTTCTTCTTTACTTCTTCTACAATTACTGAGTATTCTAAACTAAAAAAGAACATGCTTAACTAAAAAATAGCTTTAACTCTGCAAAATAATATACTACTTGCTATAAAATGTTAAACTTGAGTTATTTAAAATTTAAAACTGAATACAAATGGGCTGAAAATCAGTGTCAGAGAGCATCAAATGGCAAATTATTGGAATTGTTAAATCAAAAAACATAGCAAAGTTGAAACAGGAAATAGTTGAAATAGTTGCAAGTGTTTCTAGACTTTGCATAAAGTGAAAACCTGGCAGCTGACAAGTGACATCATCAACATCCTTCATTCTGGAAGACCCTTGAATCTTAGTAGCTGTGACAAAAGTAGCATATGGGTCTACATTACATTGCATTTAGAAAATACATTGCAATTAGAAAAACTATCCTGCCAATCATGGATCAACGCATAAGATAAAAATAGTGCAAAGAATTTGCATTGGGCAATAGAGAATTGGAAAAAGTGATTCAAAGTGATGACTCAAATTTTTAGGTCATAACCTGCAAAAAAAGAATTTACATTAAAAGATTTGCAACTGCTAGTTACAAAAAAGATAAAAAAGATGGTGAAGGTTCAGTAATATGATGAGATATTTTCCCACTAAGGCTTTGGTGAGCTATATGATGTCCAAATCAATCAAAATACCTACAAAAAAACACTAAAATCATGTTTGATTCCAATTGTATGACAGAACCAAAAAAAAAAACATCAAACAAAAGCAACATGGAGCTCCAACACAATTGGTATAACGCAAAAAAATTCCATTTGTTGGTTTAATGCCTTAGGCCATCAGATTTTAACGCTCTAATAATAAATATGTATTTGTTTTTTGCATCACTATTGTATATCTCCACTGAATATATACACCTTTTCCAAATACCCAAGTGCATATCAAATGTAAAATCACTAATACTTTGAAGTTTTGCTATGAACTTCAATTTACTTTTATTTTTATTTTAAGTATGTATTGGTTTTTGGCACCGCTAATAAATATCTCCACTGAATATATATAAATTTTCCAAATAATAAACAATATTATGGTAAGATACAATTTAATAGCTAAGTTCAAAACACACTCAGCACATTCTTTATAATGCAATACAATATACAGTTTACAATCATTAATGTTAATTAGAAATCCTATCGAAAATATTAATAGTCACAGATAATTAAAGATTGCAATGACTTTGAACTTTTTTTAACTTTAACTATAGTTATTGAAAAAAGTTAACCATATATTTGATCAATTAAATTTATTTCAAATACTGAATATTTTAAGTGAACTTAATAAATCAACTTTTTTCTAGATGCTAGCTGAAGGGTGATCAAACTAAATCTACTTCTTTTTTTGTAATTTTATTGTTGGCATTTAATAAAAATATTTAAAATCTATCAATTTTTTTGTAGGTCATCACAACAATTTTGTTGAGTAGAAAAAAGGTGCCAAAATATTATTGCTTTGATCCAAGCAAAATTGATGCAAAATCTAGAGAAAAAAATATCAGTTACTTATTTAGAAAACCCATAATAACAGAACACTGAGAACTTTCAGTAACACTTTTTGTGACTTGAGTAAAGCAATGCACCCTAATTTATTTATATATATATATATATATATATATATTTTAAAATAAAACTTTCTTTTTATGGATTTCTATTTGCAAAAATTATATTTATTTTTACGATATTTCGATTTATTTTCATTATTATTCATTATTTCGATTTCTAATTTATTTATATATATATATATATATATATATATATATATATATATATATATATATATATATATATATATATATATATATATATATTTTAAAATAAAACTTCTTTTTATGGATTGATTTCTATTTGCAAAAATTATATTTATTTTTACGATATTTCGAGGAATATGGATACCCTGGTTATCAAGTATATAAAAACCGTTATAAAAAAACAAAACCGCTATATTATATAAAAACTGTTTTAATTAACAAAACAATGTTTTTTGTAAGAGCTTCTTTTTAAGAGAGTTATTTAAGTGAGTTTTTTGTGACATAAGAATTTAAACATGGGTTTCCAAAATGACGTCGTTACATAATTGCCATCATCTCTATTAAGACCATTGTTGCAAAAGGTACTTTCGTTGAGTTGTATCTTCAAGGCTTCCCTAACTTTCCTATTAAAACTATTTGTTTCGATTTTTAACGTATTGCGACCATTCTAGTTGAATTTTCCTTGGCAAATTTTGGAATGTTCAGCTACAGTTGTCAACATTTAATATATATATATATATATATATATATACATATATATATATATATATATATATATATATATATATATATATATATATATATATATATATATATATATATATATATATATATATATATATATATATATATTATTCATAGTCCTTTTTTTGTCATTTTATAATAATTTTTGCTTTAGGTATAAAAAAAATAAGTATCAGTTTTTTTTGTTTTTTTTTAAATAAAATCTGATGCATCTTTTTAAGATTTTTTAATATAAAATAATTTTGTTTATAGTTTAATTTCTCAATAACTTATCCTTTCTTTTATAATGGACTACGAATGACAACTTCATGTTTGTTGTTCTTTTTTAAGTTTTTACTAAATTCTGCAAAACTTTATAATATTGCCTTAAGGTGGTATTTGCTTTACCTTTAAACAGAACTATCTTGTTGGTAAGTTGTAAGCGTAATATAGGTGAATTCATTAAAATTATGAATCCTTAAAGGCCAATGCTCTTTCCCATTTCCAGTAATTTCTTCTTCTCAAGGTTCTATCTTTAGTCCTGTTTTGTTTCTTATTTACATTAATGATTTTTCTGACAACCTTACATCTAAAATAACTCTATTTGCTGATGACTCAACTTAATACTCCAGCTCGATGAATGGTCTTCTATATATACGATCGATGGCTAAATTAGCATCAGGTAAGGTTGCTTCTCTTTATTGTGCATAGCATTACCTTACTCCTAATTCCATTCTCTACTTCTACAAATCTCTTATTCACCCCTATATGGAATACTGTTGTCATATTCTAGTTCTTCTAATGATGCTCTTTCTCTTTAGAGAAGTTCAAAAATGCATTGTAAACATAGTTGGACCTGGTTTATCTGCATCTATCAGCTGGCCAATGAACACCATTCATGGTAGTGATTCTTAAAAAAGATGAAGTTCCTCTAAAAAAAAAAAACTCTTTAAAAAAATTGAAAACACATGAAAAGCAGGTTAAGAAGTAAGGAAATCATCAGCAGAATCAATCTAGGTTACACTTAAAACATCAAAATATTCAACTGTACATTGGGATGGTAAACTAGTTCCAATCTTCAAAAAGAAAAATAAGGAATGATTAGCTCCTCTGGTACCTGGCATGCCAGACTTTAAATAAGGCAAGGTTCTTCAAATCCTAGCAATCATAAATAGAACAGGTGAAGAGCAAGCTAGAGCTACATTTGACCTTGCAAATGAGTGGAACATTTCAGGTAATATAAGATTACTTGTTTTCGACATTACAGCTAGTAACTCTGGGTATAAAAGTGGAGCTTGTGTTTGACTGCAAAAGCTGTTCAGCAAAAAGTTATTGGCTTACAAAATTATTGGCTTTGTCAACATCAGATATATGAAGTTCTGTTTAGAAAAATTGTTTGGTGCAACATTGGATTCTAAAAAAAAATATTTAATTTAGAGATTTGGCCAAATAATAACACAGAAGCTGGTTATATGACCCTAAAATTCAAAGACAGTAGTTTAAAAATCCATGCAAAACAATCTATATAGTCAACGAAGAGAATACTTTTTAACAAAAAAAGAAAGAATTTGCTACCTTGTGCTGACTATTGGGAATGTGTAAACTGATGTTGATACTTGTCTGTAATGGACCTGAAAGAAAAACGCATTGGGTGAAACCAAGAGCATAATCACGGTTCAAACCATCATGCATGATAGATATAATCAATTTTGTATCCTGCAAAGATGTAGGAATTCAAGCAGGATATGATCAGTATAAAATAACAAAACTGGAAGCAATATGCAAATTTAATGCACTTTTCTGTGTTGAAAATTACCTCTGCTCATTCATTGGGGTCGATGTAGCTTATAATGATTAAAAGATAATTAAATTGATATGTGGTGGATTTTGAACCACGCTTATTCTGTGTACAAAATAAACGCCTTATCCAAACAAGCTATACATACATATAATCATCGATAAATAAATACAATTATATAATAAAAAAGTATATGCAAACATTTTCTAGACGTATATACTTGTTACATTAAAATTACACAAATATATTTTTCAAACAGATATCAACTTGTATTTTTACTTTCCTCTTTAAAAAAACAAACCAATAAAATATAGGAAAATCATTCTTTTCATGTCAACTTAAAACTGTTTGTTTTTTACTTTGCCTTATCTAATTTTGTTGCTGAAAATAACAATTGCTCTAAGGAAACAAAAATAAAAACAGTACATAAATTATTAAAAATATTAATTTTTTTCTATTTAGATTTATTTTGATTTGCTATTTTGTTAGTTTTACTTTCTTTAAAATGATAAATATAACCTAAATAAAACCTGCAAACAGCCATGACCAAGTTGTCTAATACAAAATATTCATGAGTGGACATAGAAGACGCCAAAATTGCACATATTTCCTGGAAAGGCTTGATAAAGGTTAAACCCTAAATGATTGGAAGTAAAGTTGGATGGGAAAGATTAATAAAAGAGGGGGACATGAGATATGAATCACAGTAGTATGTGATTCATATCGAGGATTGAAATCGCTTGACCAAACAATAAAGATTTTAGAAAAAAATTATGGCAAGCTAAATAAAAAGTATTTATCAATAACATTAAGTTTAGTTTTAGACCAGGAAGGGAAACAACAGATTTAATACATATTGTAAAGCAAGTTCAAAAAAAGACACTTGTGGACCTTGAGAAGGCTTTTAATAGAGTAATAATAGAGGTAATGTGATGGGCTTTGAGTTAATTAAAAAAAAAAAAACTACAAAATCTCAACTTTACTGACAAGGGTTTTGTTTTTTTAATAAATAAAAGAATAAAAAATAAAAGAAAAAAATAAATAAAACAAAAAAAAATAAAATAAACAAAAAAATAAATAAAATAAACAAAAAATAAATCAAAATAAAATAAACAAAAAAATAAATAATGTCATTATTTTTATTTTTATTGTTAATACTGCTTTCATTATATTATTTCATTTTCTTGATTGTTTTTATTTTAAATTTTGTTTTATCAGCTGATTTGATCAGTAATAGTCTCAGCGGGTCATCAACTAATATAGCCACGGGCACAGCAGAGTGCACATACATTTACTAAGAGTTTTGGTTTGTGCAGGCAATCTGTTAATTAAAAAAAAAGAAAGAAATGTTTTTTTTACTCTGGTTTTGCTTTTTAGTGTTTGATAACATTAAGTAACTATGAAGAAATCCTCTCTGACTACCGTCCAGTGTTTGATAACATTAAGTAACTATGAAGAAATCCTCTCTGACTACCGTTCAGTGTTTGATAACATTAAGTAACATACTATGAAGAAATCCCCTCTGACTACCGTCCAGTGTTTGATAACATTAAGTAACTATGAAGAAATCCCCTCTGACTACCGTCCAGTGTTTGATAACATTAAGTAACTATGAAGAAATCCTCTCTGACTACCGTTCAGTGTTTGATAACATTAAGTAACATACTATGAAGAAATCCTCTCTGACTGCCGTTCAGTGTTTGATAACATTAAGTAACATACTATGAAGAAATCCTCTCTGACTACCGTTCAGTGTTTGATAACATTAAGTAACATACTATGAAGAAATCCTCTCTGACTACCGTTCAGTGTTTGATAACATTAAGTAACATACTATGAAGAAATCCTCTCTGACTACCGTTCAGTGTTTGATAACATTAAGTAACATACTATGAAGAAATCCTCTCTGACTACCGTTCAGTGTTTGATAACATTAAGTAACATACTATGAAGAAATCCTCTCTGACTACCGTCAAATAACAGTAACATACTATGAAGAAATCCTCTCTGACTACTGTCCAGGAGTACCTATGTGTTTGTAAGAGTGTGTGTTTATGTGTGTGTAAAAAGAGAGAGAAAAATGCAAAAATTATACCTAATACTTTAGTTGCACCTTCTGAAACTAAAGCTGCATTTGCTACATTCTGCATTGACTCCACAAACATGACTGCAAAGTTGCATGTAGCTAAAAAATATTTTATGAAAAAATTTTAACACATTTTTGCTATTAATGCATATTTTTACAAAATAAAATTTAATTTTAATAATTAACATACTTTGAATTGATTTCTGATAAACCTTTGCACTTGCCACCATTTGTCGAAGTGATGGAGTAAGATTAGCAACATTCTATAAGTAATGAGAATGGTTATATTAGGCTTCTTAATTTAGGATTATATACCCATTTATAGATTTTAGGTAATGTTTTACGAATTGTGGATTTTAAAATATAGCTTTTTATATTGATTATATAAAGTTTTTCATATGAATCATTTTATTTATTTTTCAACAAATGCTTGACAAAAGAACATAAGCTCACTGGCAACTCTGGTTTTACTCATTTTCACATATCAGCATCATGCATATAGATTTGCAATTTCTGAATGGAAAACAGTGCTGATTTAAAAAGCCTTATATAATTTTTTTATAACTATTAATTTAAACTTATGCTGTCAAATTATTAAACAGTCTTGATTTTGCATAAAACCAAAGCCTACTTATTTTTCAGGAAATCAGAAAAGCAGCTAGAGCAGATTCAATGACAATACATTCTTGGACCTTGGGGAAACACATCATTAAATGATTCAGCTCAAACATGCCACAATATTTCATACAAAAACAGATAAAAGATTTATAGATGCAGAGAATAGAATCATTAGAACAAAACCACAACAACAATAAAGAGAAGCAGCTTTTCAGATGCTAATTTTGCAATAGATTCAATATATGGTTTCCATTGGTTTCTATAAAAAGCCAGTTGTGAAAGATAATTTAAATGAGATAAAGTAGAAGAATTAGTTCCAGTCTAAGAATTAGTTTAAAATAATAATAATAATTAATAAAAGAATATCAACTTTATTGTGATAATAACTAGCATATTAGCATGTTGTTTATTTAAAAAAAAAAACTTTATATATATATTTTTAAATAAAAAAATCAATTTCCTAATAAATGTGTTTGCTGAAAATGAATACAAAAAGAAAATATTACAAAACCTTACAAATATTTTTATAAAAAAAACGACACTCAAATAATGAAGTAGACTTATCTAACAAAGCAACCATGCCAACTATATCACTACCATGGATCCCAATATTATCATCAAAACTTTGAAAAATCTTAAGGCAGGCAGGTTACAGGGCAGTCTTTAAATCTAGTTCAAATCTTAAATCTTTGTTAACTATTATCAAATAGCTATCCCGGAGTATACCTAATAGAAAGCGAGTGTGAACAAAAATACATCGGCGAAACAAAAATGAAAATAGCAGTAAGAACAAAACAACACCAAAAAAATATTTTTGAAGAAAAATTGGAACAATCTGCAATTGGGCATCATAAAATTAAATGTCTATGTAAAATAAAATGGGATCAAGTAAAAACGTTAAAAGTAGGGCCCAAAAAAGAAAAGTTCAAGAGGTAATTGAAATTCAGTTTAACAAATGCGGACCTAAGAACAGAGGTATGAATTTAGATCATGATCAGTAAAAAATGCACTTTGGAAGCCATATTTCTTGTATTTAAGTTACTGCTTGTTTGTAATTAAATTTAATTAATAATTTGTAATTAAAGCTGAAGATGCTAGTATCAATAATCTAGCGAAAATTTCTTAGATTAAATAAAAAAATTAGTATTGAGAGAATTCGTATTTATTGATGTTCATATATTAAATTTATTTAACTCTCATACAAGATGTCGTCATTTAAAAAAGAAAATTTGTAAGATAAATTATCTAACAAAAATAAAACCTTAGAAAAAAAAGAAAAAATAAAAGCTCAAAAAACTAAAATTTGAAAAGGAAAATATATTTATTACATTTTTTAAAAATACTATACTATACAAAATGTTTTGTAAATGTTTTGTTTAAAAAATAAAGTTTATATACAATACTGAACTTATTAATAGAAATATACATTTATATATATATATATATATATATATATATATATATATATATATATATATATATATATATATATATATATAATCTAGTAAAAACACTTATCTAATTGACATTTTGACAATTTAAATCCATCTACCTTGAATTACTATCATTAATTAATATTTAAATATTGCGTTAATTAATAATAGTTTGTCCGTATTTTTGTTAAATATTAGTTGTATAAAACAGGCAAAAATATGTGTACTTCATGTTTTTAATTTGATGGTTATAAAATATTGAACAGTAAACTTATAATCAAAATTTATAATGCTGAATTGTGCTGCTATTAATTGTACTTGTAATGCAAAACCAGGATCTCACATATCCTTTCAGGAATTTTCATATCTGATATTACTCTCAATTGTATTGTTTAGTGTATCCTTGTACTTTTTTTCATAACCTTAACAGGTTCTAATTGGTTTGGAATTGCCGACATTATAAAAGTTTCATAATCAAAAATCAAATGCAAAAAAAAATGATATTTCCTTTTTATCCATATCCAATTTAGTAAATTTAGCAATTTAAATTAAATTAACGTAATCAAAAATTTTTTATAATAAAAAAATTTAACAGTCCATCAAATATCTTTAATTAATACTGTCAGTTAATGAAAATAATTGTTAATACTTTTTTTGACAGAAAAACAATAAATGTCATAGCGTAAAAATGACCAGATAAGATAAAAAATAGTTCCCATTGTTTAAATGAAAATAAGTAAGATTCAGAATATATAATACTACGCTCTCTTGCACAAAACGAAAGACCGTATTTATAACGTTCTGTATAATGTAAAATACTCATATTGTGGCAGGATAGCTCAGATGGTTAGAGCGTCATAGGAAAAGTTAAAACCCGGACTTTTGAACGATATGAGTTCAAATCCCGCCACCGCCAACTCAGCGCTTGAGCAGTACTTTGTTACGCAAAAACTTTTATGAATTAAATGCGCTTCAAAGGAATCGCAGAAGTCTGTAGATTGCAACATATATTTTGAAGACTCCGAGTTATTGAATAAAATGGAAAAGGCGAGCTTCGGCTAAAACAACAACATTAGTTTTTCTCGGTATGCATTCATTATTTATTTTTAATCAAAAAAAAATTAGTTCAAACCTTTTTTGTTAACATTATCTTTAATATGAACACAACATGTGTTGCAAGTTTGGGATCCTTTTAATTACTCATAATACACTTAAAGTACTCATATAGACTTCATTTATTTTAATAGAAACTTTACTGAGTTAAAAAAAAAAAAAAAAAAAAAAATATATATATATATATATATATATATATATATATATATATATATATATATATATATATATGTATGTAAAAAAAGCGGTTAAAAGCATGTAAGAAACCTTAAGTCATTCATGCCGAACTGTGCTTTTTCTAGAACTAGAAGAGCAAACAGTTTGTGAAAATTCTTTCTATTTAACCCATAGCACATATTCAAATATGACTTTACTGTACAAGAAATATGCCATATTCGAAATTTAAAAAAAATGGTGATGGACGACTTAAAAGATTGGGGACGACTGACATTAGTTAAATTTTAACTCTAAGTCAACAGGTGGGCGACTGACTAAAATTCAATTGTAAACCACTGTGTGTATATATATACAGGGGTTATTCTAGACAGTTTTTGAAAGCATTGTCCATATTTGGGCGCCAATCAAATTAAAACTTGAGAAGCTTTTTTTTTTTATGTTTTTTACAGCAAATTTTTTTTTCACTAAAAAAAGCTTATTTTCTGCTAAAATTTCTCTGGGATGTTCAGTGGGCCAAGTGGTGGATAAAACCTAAAAAATAAATGTTTATTATATTCAAAATCATATTATAAAACATATTTGTTTTACTCTCATTTAAAATTTTGAAAATTGTTCTGAGTATATTAGTATCTTTTAAAATCACAAAAACCAATTGCGGTTTCATGTGTAATGAAATTTTTTTTAATAAAAGGCGTGAAATTTTTATTTTTGATGCATAGCTATAGAAAACAGTAACTTGAAAAATTTTATGAGCTTACTGGATTAGTTTATATATTTAAACTATTTAATAGTAAAGCTCTATGTAAAAAATTTAAAGTAATGATCAGCCTTTATAATACTTTACAGGGATGTACACTTGTGGTCGCCCGATGGCACCAGGCCACCGAATATTGTGAAGGGCGACTCAAATATTTTTTTTATGCAATTATTTTTCAGTCGCCTGAAAGGGCGACTATTGATTTTTATCGGCAGTTCTATTTTTTTGTGTGTGTAATTTAAGAGATTTAAAATATGCAAAGTAACTAATGCAATAAGTAATTAGAGTTTCATTATTAAAATAATAATGAAACTCTATTTTAAAAGTCACAATGCTAAAGTTTGTTTACCGCATTTTCTATTGTTAATTAGAACAAAACACGAGTAAAATAAAAACAAAAAGGTATTATTGTTTAAACATTTTTTTTTAATTTAATTTAATTTTTAGAGATATGTAATAATTTAAAAGATAAGTAATAGAAGTATATTTGTCCAAAAAAATACTAGAAGAGAAATACTTATACTTATATAAAATTCATGTAAGTTGCAATGTTTATTTCTATTTTTCAATGTAATTTATCGTGATAATTATAAAAGTAATTTCTATATTATCATTTATATTGTTTTCATTTATTTAGTATTATGACATCGGACTTTTTCACTGCATGTAAAAGAAAACTCAAATCTGTTAGTCTGACCAGCGCAAGCAGTCATGATGATTAAAGCAAATATGAAAAAACGAAAAGAATTAGAACAATACAACCGTCATGGTTAAAAGAATATCCTTGGCTTAGGTACAACAAAATTTCCGAGTTGTATACAGAAGAGGGAACAAACAATATTAAAAGGTTTCCAACAGAATTAAACAAGGAACGCAAAAAAAAAAAAGAGAAGATCAGGCGTACAATGATTTTAAGGATGTCATGGTTTGCCTAAATTGCCAGAAGTATTATCACTCCAACCAATTAAAGGAAAACTACAATCCATCAAAAAGCGAGATCAAACAACTTCCATTTATATTTGCTGCTACATCGTACAGAATTGAGAGTGTCGCTAAACATTGCAAACCCACGAATACACAGCATGTCCTTGTGATGGACCGACAAAAAAACTTAGAAAAAGAAAAAAATAATAAGTTGAGTGAAGCTCAACAAGTAAAAACAACT